ACCTCAATTAATATTACAATACGGATGTGGAGATACTCAGAACCAAATTGGGAGGTCTGATACATGTTGGTAAAGGGGTCAGGAAATCCAACTTGCTCTGTCCGGTACCCAGGTACAATCAGAGGTGTCCCAGGACCTCGGAGGAATGATTGTTTCTTTCTCAGTGGGATAATTTTCCACTTTGCAGAGACACATGTAGGGTAGTATCCAAATTTGCTATGAGTCATAAGGATTGGTGGATGGCTCAGGTCCTTGGCTATCAATGCCTGACTTGCACTGTCTCATCCCTGTGTCCAGCTGCAGGGACTGAACAATGTGCATATACCGCAGTCAATTTGGGTACTATCCTATAGTACTTTACTGTGTTATACCCCCGAGTCCATCATGTTTTGATGGTTTATGAGTCCGGACATCCTCAGATGATTGATACTGATGGGTGCTGGAGAAAGGAGGGTGTTATGTTAGGCTTGGGGCTTTACAGGAGACAGCAATGCTGGTACAAAGAATAGCAGAGACACAGGGATATACCCCTATTACCTCAGGGAAAAGGCTTGGTCTCAAACCTGACACCCCCATACACCTACAGAAACCTCCTTTGGAATCTGAAGAAGAGTTAAAAAGTTTGGTTTTGGGCAACCGGTTTTAGATAGCACCAACAGTTTGTGCAGAGCATCAACAGGAGGGCCCAGCTCAAGGGGCTTATAATCTAAAGGGAAGGGGTGGTACAAAAAGTAATAGCTGTGGGAGAATGGTCTGATGGAGCTGGCTGAGGTATAGTTTTTAGGTGGAGGCAGATGAGGTTTCCCTAAATAAATTAATTTTCTGGGATCACCTAGTGGTGAACAGGGTAGGAGATGGCTGGACATACTGGGGAGGGGAGTTCCAGAGGTTCTGGAGCAGTCCTGATGATGAGCATGGGAGGAGGTAACAAGGAAGCTGGAGATCAGGATGTCTTAGGTGGAGTAGAGTGGTCAATTTAAGTGTTACCTGTGGATCGAAGTTGATTAACACAAGTAATACACACAGTAGAGAGATGCTAAGGTATGCTGATGAGTTTCTTCAGGTACAGTCCTAAAGCCACAGCTTTCTTAAACATCTTACTCCACCCTCTTCACCTGATTTGCGCAACTCTGTTGCTCTTCCTGATGCAATTAATATTGTGCATCACTATCAGGAAAATGATCACCAAACTTATAAGAAGGTGTACCTCAATGAGGTATCTCCTATTGAGAAACCGAGAGGCCATTAACTGCTCTCTAAAGAACCTGATCCGATACACACAAAAGAAATTTGCACATTCAAGAGAGGACCCTAAAACAACATAAAGGAAAAGGAAAGATGTTCTTTGTTTCTTTTTTCCCCTTTTTATTGTTTTTTTTTGGTTTGGTTTGTTTTAGGGAGAAGCCTCTAAATTGGAGCAATAAAATGCAGTCAGGTTTATCTAAATTCTAAACATTTTTTCAATCAAAATTTTTTACTCTCCCCGTTTTTGTGTACCTGACCTGCAAATATACTGTTGATTATAGTATGGCGGAGGACTTGTCTATTGTCTAGTAACTGCTGCAATTTTTGCAATGTTTTTGTGTTTTAATGCAGTTTTCCCAGGCGACTATATATATCCACAGTATATATTATTTTATTTTCACCTTTTCTCATTTTTAATTTTTTTGTATGAATACAGATTCATTGCTCTTCACCATCCTAAAGTAAAAGTCGTAGTTGGAGGAGCATTAAATCTGTACCCTTTTTATTTTTATATCATTTTGTTTATGCTTTGGCTTTTATTACTCTTTCCTCTCTCTCTTTTTCCTTGTTTCATGCAATTTTTTTAGCCTGAATTATAAGGCTGTGGCATTTGTGCCCGACTCAGTTTCAAGAGTCCGATGGGGATCCACAGGCTTAGAATTGCTTCCTGCAGACATCCCTCAATCTGTATATAGTTTCACCCGAGCCCTGTGAGTGGGTGGGGAGAACCCAGGACTGAGACCTGACAATAGCATGCAGCATCGGCCATCCCCACCTTCAGGGGCTCTGGTAAATACCGGCTGTTGCTCAGACTCTGCATCCTGTGGGGATCCCACTTCACTTGCCCACATTAAGACCCCCTATGGTTAACAACCTTAAAGGCAAAACAGCTGCTTCATGCTTGATTTCCCCCCAATAACATTCTCCTTCTCTTTTTTCGTATCCATGTATGATTGTCTGGAGGCCTGCCCTACCACCACCTGAAGAAACAACAACCACCACGTCATCTCTAGAGACAAGGGTGCAAAAGCTAGACCTTCCTCAACTATCTTTCGCCATGCTGAATAGTGCCATTTCGCGGTCTGATCCAATCTCTGCAAACATTGCACAGTGTTCCCAAGATACGGGACTAAAGATACCAGGATCCCGCCATCGATGTTGGAGTTCCATCCTTCCAAGGCAGAGGGGTGAGGAAACATCGCAGCACAGGCATTCATGGTGCGAATGTGAGGTCTCGGAGGCACCAGGACTTCTTTGTTTACTAGGAGTTCCTTCGTGATCAAGAAAGAAGAGGAGGCCGCAGTGGTGGTGGGGGGGGTTTTGCCTTCTGGGTGGTCATGGGTGGGTACAAAATCATTGAGGGAGGGCATAAGTTCTCCAATGAACTTAAGGGGGAAATGTAATGGCAATTTTGGGCCTACATCTTCATGAAGGTTATTGACTGTTGGGGGATTACACTACAAAAGCTCAATGGAGCTGAGGGGGATGGAAGGCAACTTGAATTTCCTGTTCTTTCTTTTATTTTAAACTAACCATTGCTCTGAAGCCCACCCATTTGAGGTGTGATTTACTTGGGTGGGTGGGTGGGTGGGTGGGTTTAGGGATGGTCGTTTGGAAAGTGTATAAAACAACAAAAACAAAAGAGCCCTGCCCTTTTGTGCCATGTGCCTTCCACAGCTCAGACCTCAGAACTTCAGGATCGCTGTAATGTATCACCATTGCTCTGTCTTTTTTCTTGTAACTATCTCTCTCTTGTAGTCTTTGTATAGGTAACATTCTGTATTATATTTTTGTTGTATTTGATTAATAGAAAGCTTCCTTGCTTTGTAAATAAATTAGATGTTTATTTTTTGCACAATGGTTATCTTTTAATATTAACACTATTGGCTAAATTCAGGTATAGACAAAGGGTTATAATCACTTATTACATTTATAATCTGTATAGAACCAAGTAAATAAGTGTGGGTAGGAAAACCGCCAAAACACAGTAAAGCATGCTTGGTAAACTTGCAGTGTAACCTAATGGGTTAATCCTCTGCATTGTGTAAAAACGTGGTTTGATCCTGATTTCTCTGATCTTCTCCTTCTTCCAGTGCCCCCTTCTTATCTCTTGATAAGACATATCTTGTGGAGTTACTCTGCACATGCTCAGTTTGATGTGTATTGCTAGAGAGTTTTTTTTTATTGGGAGAGTGCATGTTATCAGCACAGGGCCAATCAGCACTCTCCGTACAGAGGTCAGGGGATCTGCATCCTCCTAGAACAAAATGAAAACTCCTCCTATAAGCTTTAACCACTGCTCGACTGGACACTGATAGAAGTCACAAGACTGCTCAAACTGCTGATGAGAAAAGATATTTGGCAGTTTATATTTACTAAAATAATTGCATTTCCATGTTCTGTGTACTGTGGGAGACCAGATATAGTGAACGCAAGGACCTGGGCTTAGTAACACTGTAAACCCGGGTAATTCTCTGTATCTGTTTTTATTAGACATTGTTTTAACTGGCCATACACAGACTATAATACATTTTTGGTTTTTTTGGGTTTGGGTTTAAAGAAGAATTTTAGGCATTGGCATGTCATAGTTACATTGGCTCAGCTTAGTCCAATGTAACTATGTATATACCATACCTGATGCATTGTGAATTCCGGAGGTTGACGGCTCAGCACAAACACTATTCAGAGAATTCTGTGCATTTTCTGAATGAATTCAAAGCATTCCCTGATTGGACAAGTTGGAGAAAATGATGCCACCACCCTGCCTCTCCATGTCAAGAATACACTCTGGAAACTGGGATCAGACTGTGTATGTTTTAAGTGAGATTTATTTACAGTGAAACAAAATCCATCCAAACATCAGCATTCAGCAAACAAACATATGAACCAAAAAACCCAGTGACAGAATACCTGACTAATAACTAACAGCTAACTATATACAAAATTGGGAACATACAGAAAAGCAGGGAAAACTGGAGGTGCAGGGAGCAGATTGGTAAGGGGAAACCAAAACTGGAATTAGGAACAAGGGAGAGCAGGTACAAACCAGAAGGGTAACAGCTAGCAGTATCTGGCAGCAAGCAAAACACTAGAGCAAGAGGCACTAATAGAGGATTACCTAAATACATGCTCAACAGCCAGCATCAGGTGGAAACTGATTATTGGGATTTGCTGGCTGCTGGGAAACACCCGCTGTTGGATATCAGAATTACAAAACCACCTCTGCCCAGGGAACCACAGTGCCACCAGCAGGTGATCCAGGTCCTGACACCCCACTTGGTCCAATCAGAGAATGTATTGCATTCATTCAAAAGTGCAAAGCATTTTATGAATGGTGTCTGTGCTGAGTGGCTGACTTCCCAGCATGGGACCTGGAAGCAAGTGGAGATCACTGAAGTAGCAGGGTCTACTTCAATGAACAAAGAGACCGTACTACTCCAGGTCAGTCAGGGGGGATGAACGGAGGGGATAGCAGGAAAATACCAGTGTGGATAGGATACAGCACCCGAGGCACAACACCTAGCTTCCAGTCATATACTGCGAGGTCAGGGGCGGACTGGCCATTCGGGTATTCGGGCACTGCCCAAGGGCCTGGGGTCAGTAGGGGGCCCCATGAGATGCCCCTGGTACCTTTCATAGGCTTTTTTGGGTGTGGTTTGAGTGTGGTGGATGAGGACACAGGGGCCCCATGATCCCCTATTGCCCGGGGCCCCATGAGTTATCAGTCCGCCCCTGTGCGAGGTATCATTATCTAGACAGTAATGACCTGCGGCTCTATCCAGCCAGCCCAGAATTTGTCAAATTTGGCAGGACAGTTGATGTACCTTAGTTTATATAGAGGAAGAGCCCTGCTGACCGCTGCCTTTCCACTCAGCCAGGAACCCTGGGCAGGGTAAGCAGTTTCCATTTCAAACAGGATTTCCCTTCTAGCATAGTATGCCAAAAAGAAATGAAATAGTTTGACATGTTTAGATGCCTACACAAAATCAGTAAATCCTAGTAGCAGCACCAAGGGCTTCGTAGAATAGACAGGTTGCCAGCTCTGTTAATGGTATCCAACACTCCTACCCAGAAAGCACATGATTTTGATCAAGACCAAAAGATGTGAGCAAATGTGCCTTCGACCATATCACAATGGCGGTAAGCCGCCAATCTGTCAGGATAAAATTTTAGCCAGTTGCTGAGGGGTATAGTACACTCTATGGATAAATTTCAGTTGGATAAAGCAATCTCTGGCAGAGATCATGGTGGGGACAAATTGCAGAAGGCAGTCCTCCCAGTCATCTTCCAAAAGAGAGGGAATGTCCACATGCCATTTATTGTAGAGGGAGTCTATTTTGGGGGTGGACAAGGAAAATAGGAAGGATCAAATAGAGGACAGAGGTTTACATAGGTCTTCCTCTAATAACACTGTTCAACAAATTTTTATTTTTTGCCAGTTTTGGAAACAAAAGGATCCATTTCTTAATGAATTTCACATTCTGAGTTCAAATATAACAATGAAATTTGTCAATTGGCTCTAGTTTTTCTGTAAACGGAAAGTTTTCTACTACAGGCGTAATGACTACATAATGCACAATAATTATATAGATAGATGTCTTTCCACAAATATAAAGCAAGTGATATTGACTACATAACAAAGCTAAATGGCATAATATATTGCATAGGATTACAAGAAAAATTATAGCCATAAGCTAAGTTGAATCATTTTAATACTTAGGATTCAGGTCACTAGTTTTGTCTTCAGTTTGTGTCGGTTTTGCTTCTCTTGGCTTTTCTCTTGTATTCGAGGAAAGGGCTATCTCTTACAACTGCACGTGACTACACGCTTCAGGTTCTTCCTCACTTGACTCAACCACGAAGGATTCTGGTGCTTTAGGAATTGGTAGCCCCTCTCCATGAGGAACTGGACGTATTGCCGATGGAATATTTTTGGATAGTGCACAGATAACTTTTTCTTCTTATTTAGCCCTTTTACAATTGGAGGCACCATACAAAAGTAACAATTACTAACATGATCTGTTGGCTCTCAGCAAATCATTGGCACAGCGAAAGGCATAGATGCCTTTTTTCCATTCAACCATTGCTCCAGTGCCGTCCCAGCCAAGAATTGCAGCAAGCATATATGTGGTCCCAGCTCTTGTCCTGGTCTCCTATCTTGCAGCCAAAATACAAGTTGTAGGCTTTCTTAATCATTCCTGTTATCCTCCTTTTTTGTTGAGATAAAAGTTATTTCACCGCAGATATAGCAGAAATTATCTGCTTTATTCACACAAGTTCGAGGCATTACTGAGTAGCCTATATAAGCATAAAACGAAATGTAAAGACGCTGTCGAACTACAATCAGCTACAGATACTGCAGCTTTTAGCAGTGAAGTGATGCAATTAAAGGCTAATATTGCATCATCTCAGTATACATGCAATTTCTAGTTGGTCACCAGTATCAATTGCGCAATATGCAGTTGAAGTTGCATCATAATTTTGAATGGCTTACGTCATTAGATGGGTGAATATATCATGGAAACTAGAGCCAATCAACATTTTTTAGGGTAATTTTTGTTTTCAGCACCCCAAAATTATGTAAGATTAGCTAATTTTATGCCCAAAACTTTTTACCTGTTGAACAGTGTAACATATCGTCCAGAGGATTAGTCTTAATGTTGGGAGAGTTAGGAATTGAGCATCAACTGCGTGCCGTAGTTGTAAAAAAATGGAAGAACATCCGATTAGGTAGGTTGTAGATACCGTTAAGTTCATCAAAGGGTAAAAGAGTCCTCTGTGGCATTATATTTTGCAGCATCTTTATGCTATAGCCAGCTTAATAAAAAAAACAATTTTTACTTATAAACAAAGTAGGGTTGCCACCTAATCCCTTTAAAATCAAACCTATATTAATTACACAGGTTCTGAGTGTAATTAATTGCAGATACGTTACTCAGTTATCACCTTAATCAGTCACAGAACTTGTGTAATTAATATGTGTTCAGTTTTAAAGGGATAATGTGTCAACCTTAAAACAAAGAGTGTCAGAAAAAGGTCTGGTCCTTAAGCGGTTGATATCACTTTAAACACTTGGATATTACTTGGTTGCTTGAGGCAACTATTTCAATTTTGGGAAGTACTGCACACAGTAAGGAAACTATAGTAAGGTAGAATATGCCTTTCCCATAGTTCTATAGCAGATATACTGCTACAGGGCACCAGGGTTGCGCAAAAGCATGTATATATATATATATACGCGATTTTGCATTACCGGGTGGGGGGCACTCCCGAGCCGCGTACGTGCCCTACACACGCCACTATTCACAGCCTCTGCTGTCAACAACGGGTCCTGGCCAGTGATTACTCACCGGCACCCGGTGATGGCCGAGCATTACTGGTGGGGGAAAGAACTGTATGAAAACAGCTCCTGCACACTGCTTTGTAGCAGTGTGCTTACAGTTGAAAGCACACACACAGCTTACAGTAAAACAGTACACAGTTAACCCTTTGATCACCCCTCATGTTACCCCTTCCTGCACAGTGCCATTAGTGCAATGTCAGTGCTTTTTATTAGAACTGGTCACTGTATTGGTGTCACTGGGAATGCCAGTGACACCAAGTCAGTTCCCTACAATATCCACCGCATTCCCGATATAAATCGCTGATCGCCGGCATTACTAGTAAAAAAGAAAAAAAAATTCCAGTATATATACCGTCATTTGTAAACACTATAACTTTCACGTAAATCAATTTAATTTATACGTATTGGGATTTTTTTTTAGGAAAGACATGTAGCAGAATACATTTTGGCCTATATTTATGGCAATATTTGTTTTTCAAATTTTTTTACTGGACATGTTTTTTTTTTCAAAATTGTCGATCTTTTTTTTTGTAGCGCAAAAAAAAAAACGCACAGGCGATCAAATACCATCAAAAGAAAGCTCTATTCGTGGGGAAAAGGGATGTAAATTTCATTTGGGTGCAGTGTTGCATGACCGCGCAATTGTCAGTTAAAGTAACACAGCGCTGTATCACAAAAAATGTCTTGGTCAGGAAGAGGGGAGGGGGTAAATCCTCTGGAGGGCAAGTGCTTAAAGCCCAGCTCTGGGATAAATAAAACAAAAGGCTGCAAAACTCAGCTTCTCTCTGAAGCTGCTCCGCGATCATTTTATTCTTCCGTTAGATGTCCTCAGTCTTACCGGTTGACTTGCAGCCAGTATAAAATGCTTATATTTCATTCTATCACATTCTCTATCACCGCCCTCATTGGTATAAACATGAATGCACAATTAAATTGCTGCACACTCTCATTGCTTCCTATTACAGTAAATAGAGGCTGTTGAAGTGCTTTTATTAGTTTTAAATATTCTGTTTAAATTTGTTTTACAGTAGATAGTAGAGCAGTATCTATGTTCAACCTGGTCAAATACATCTGCATAAATAGAGAAGTTGTTCTCATGCAAATTACCAGACAAGGCCATTAAACTATAGTGTATGCATACAATCACATCAGACAACATTAAGCACTGGGTATGTATGAGCCTTCTCGGCGATTGCCTAGCAACCTTATACTGCCTGACAGGAGCCCAATGTTGAATCGAAAGCTCTCATCACGGTTCCAAGACAGATCTAATTAAATACAATTCTTTCCCCAGAATTCATGTGTCAGCATCTTAAGTATTATTTGAGAGGGATATTCATTATGTAACAGAATGTACAATGTATTTGATGCATATAAAATCCAGCATGTACACTGTGAATTAGGATGTATGGGCAGATTCTAATTAGAAGCACACACAAATATGTTGCAGTCAGCTAGTTGGTTGGTTTTTATCCATCTTAAAGCAAGCCTTCACGCAAATGGAAAATTGTCACTTCATACACTAAGCCGTTGCAGTCCTGCAAGCTGTCTCCTTGACACTTTGCCCCCCCCCCCCACTATTACAAGGGTGGGCTCCCAAACCCCAGCACGTGGGTCATTCGCTATTTTTCTCCATCACAGAATTACTGAGCTTAGAACCAGAGAGAGAACTTGCACCTGTAATGGTGGGGGTAAGCGGTACAACTCAGTGGGGCTGGATTTACTAATGGCAAATAGAGTGTGCACTTGGCAAGTGCGGTACCACTTTGTAAGTGCAATTGCTCCACAGCTTAATAAATGAGATGAAGCTTCACTTACCCGACAATACCCAATCACATGCAAGGAAAACTTAAAAAACAGTTGGCACATGATTAATGATGGGAAGCCAGCAGAGCTTCACTTCATATACTAAGCTCTGGAGCAACTGCACTTGCAGACAAACTGCACTTTACAAGTCTATTTGCCTGTATGTAAATCCACCCAGTGTATGTTAGCAACAAGGAGTAGGGATGGGGGCATTATCTCTGGGAGTTTTTTAATTTAGGCTCAGGTGGTACATAAATGGCCCTACAACACCGACAGCAAGGGCATTATTCAAATTCGAGTAAATCTTCACAATTTTTTTAACTCTTACAGACACCCCTTACCTTCATTAGCAGTTTTTTTTTTTTTGTAAAGTTAGCTAACTCTTTAAGCTGCACATACACTGTATGAATCCCAGCCTGTTTCCTGAGGAGCCAGTTCGAAACTCAAACACTGGTTTGGCCCTGTTGGCTGCCTCCTGCCCAACATCCTCAATTGAAAATTATTGTCCCTCTGACAGAAAAAAATGGTCAGCCAAAAGGTGATGGAACCAATAGTGGATGCAACCATTGTTTTTGTATTTTGGCAGTCGCATAGGATCAGCAGTCCAAAATAACACAAAAGACCCAGCAGAAGCATTTGACCCATCTGCTACGTACAGCGTGGTATGGAGGAATCTATCAACTATTTTAATTTCAGGCCTGCAGCGACAACCTTAACATGCACCTATAAATAGCATTGTGAGAGGGACTTGGCTCAACTAATGGAAGAGCTTTCCTAGAAACTTCCGGAATGTACCATTTTAGGGCTCCTGCCCACCAATACTCATCAAACAAAAGTACCTCCTTCACCAATAAAAGGATTACTCTCACACAGTTGCGTTGTTGTCTGCACCATCGGAGGAACATGAACACTAAAACCAGTACAGACTCCTGGCTATGGACGTTGTTCCTAGCGTAGTGTTTGGGTGAGGTCTAGTCTGTACAGGCTCTCTGTGCCCATTTTAGAGCACAATATCCCTCTACCTTGTGCAAGACCCCAGTCCTCTTTCCATCATGCTCATCAGTCCCAGGTTAAGTCGCGCCTTGACCTATAGGTTCAAACGAAGATGTGAAGGATGAGAGTGGCCACAGAATTCTGTAATTAGTCCATAGATAGATGTATTAATCAACATAAAAATCATCATAGATAAAGCAAAAACTCCTTCACGATTAGAATGATGATTGGGTTAGCGCACTCCTGCTTAGCAGAGCAGTTAAAGAATAGACAGGTAAAAAAAGGGGAAAACAGACACCCAAAGCGTTTTATCTGCTGGCCTTAATGTAAAGATTGAAAATTTTAATGTGGGTGGCCAAGGGAATGTATTTATAATTTATATTTATAGGTATTATATTATATATAGTATGTATATTATATAAAAGCTCTACCCTGCTCTGCAAGGTTCGCTTGATGATGTTGGTCCCCAGTGGTTGCACCTGACCTTGGCAAGCCTCCCGACAACACCTGACCACTCTGGGTTCTGACATATTTTCAACAGTAATGAAATAACAATGAAAGAGCTTTTATTCTTTAGTAAGTACGTCTATATTAGGCTCGTTTCAAAAGAGTAGACCAAAGCATATGAAGGTTTTAGGAGGTTACATCCCCCACTCAACACATAAAAGCAAAACAACTGATAAAATGGAAATAAATCCAAATCAGCAAGGGTTAACAGATATATAACTGGGTCACAAACTGAACCATGGTGTAACCATTGTAACTGCTATAAACACCACCATCAGCAGGAGGGGTAAGAAATAGGCTTGTTGACTTATCAGCTCCCACTGTGCCACACACTGGCATCAAAATTTAGGGTGATGCAAATAAATTATGTAAATGGTTAGTCTAGACACCAACATTTCAATAACAATGGCTGAGATGTGAATAGGTCCCTTTTAACTCGGAAAAAAGCAAACCCCTTTTTTTTTGTGAAAAACCGTCCTGAGAGATGTTAAAGTTCCTGATGTGATTAGTAGCCTTGTCTTCTCTAGCAATTGTGGGGGCCCTCATATACAAGTAGTGAAAGTAACAGTAAATTCAATGAAGATAGTTAGATTTAGGCTGTGGTAATGCTCAAAGCCAAGATCTCATGGTACACGGACGTGTAAAGTGGTTCATGCATAGCAAGTGTCTCTAGAGTGTTGTCAGAAAGAGGTTGGGCATCTGCGGCCGCTCAGCCAATCTCATGGATAACACAGCCCGGGCCTCTGGCTAGGAACTTTGGTTCTTGCAACAGGCACTTGGCTGGTTTATGCAGTAGGAAGTGGCGGGCAAGCAGAGATGGCCGTGGTGCGCTGGTGTGATGTTCATCAAAAAAGTTATCAGGACTTTAAGTTATAATATAAATACTATAATGCCAAAAGTATTGTGGGACAACACCACTCAAAATCATTGCCATTCTACCTTCCATTCGGCCACTAGGGTATTTATATAAATCAAGCAACCAAGGCATGCATACTGCTTCTAAAAACATTTGAGAAAGGAGAATGGGTTTGCTCTCAGGAGCTCATAGGGCAATTCAAGTGTGGTACCGTGATAGGTTTGCCACTAGAGATTTGAGCGAAGTATTTCAAAAATTCGATACGGCTGATTCGGGAATTGCGCGGGAATAAATTCGTATTCGAGCTCGATATAGTTCGCTGCAAATCTTAAACTTATAAAAAGGCTTGGTGTTTCTAGGCTTCAGAGAGGCCTTTATATTAGTGCAGAACAACTGTACCTTTAATTTAATGCCTTGGGAGTCTGGTGGAAGAGAAATAATACTGTCAGTCCCCCAAAGTATGACATGGCAGATGAGTGCGTGTCGATCTTAGAATTACACAGCACACTTCACTCATTTGGGGCAGTCACGGGGCCAAAACCAGAGTGTGGAGCCACAGTGTGCGTGGAGCGGGCAGGCAAGCAATGGGATGGCCATCAGCACCTTTGAAAAATGGAACCCACCGGCAGTGTGAGGTATCGAGACCTGAAAGTGGCACTGGCAGAGTGTGGGAAGGAGACAGCAGCAAAGGGAGGCCGTACAGGGGCCCATGAACACTCTGGACCTGGGAGCGCTGAGGAGGGGCGGTACGGGGGGGCCCCTGGCAAAATACGGGCCCGGAGCAGCAATGGGGGGGGCCCGTAATTTCCAGCCCCCCATGACAAAATGGAACCCACCACAGTGTGAGGGGACCTGAAAAGGGGACAGGCACAGTTTTTGGGGGATGGAACAGCAGCAATGGGAGGCCGTACAGGGGCCCATGAAGCACTCTGGACCTGGCAGACTGAGGAGGCGGGACAGGGGCCCAGGCAGATTAGGGGCCTGGCGCAGCAAAGGGGGGCCCCCAAACGCCCCGACCCTTGACAAAATGGAACCCACCCGCAGTGTGAGGAACCTGAAAGTGGGGACATGGCAAGTGTGGCGATGGAGACAGCAGCAATGGAGCCGTACAGGGGCCCCTGACAGATTACAGGCCTGGGACAGCTGAGGAGCGGTACGGGGGCCCAGGGGAGATTACGGGGCCCGGCCAGCAATGGGAGGCCCGAAATCCCAGCACCCATGCAAAAAGGAAACCCCCCGCAGTGTGAGGAGCCTGAAAGTGGCCATGGCATAGTGGGCATGGGGGACAGCACAAAGGGAGGGCCGTAAGGGGCCCATGAGACATCTGGACCTGGCAGCAGCATGAGGAGGCGGGACGGGGGGCCCCTGGCAGATTACAGGCCCGGCAGCAGCAATGGGGGGTCCGAATCTGCCAGCACCCTATGACAAAAGGAACCCACCACAGTGTGAGGAGACCTGAAAGTGGGGACATGGCAAGTGTGGCATGGAGACAGCAGCAATGGGGGGCCGAAAAGGGGCCCAGACACATCTGGACCTGGCAGCAGCATGGGGGCGGGACAGGGGCCCATGGCAGATTAGGTCTGGCGCAGCCCAAAGGGAGGCCCGTAATCTCCACACTCTATGACAAAATGGGAACCCACCAGCAGTGAGGAGACCCCGAAAG